CTAGTTGTTAATGTTGTTTAATATGAAGGTACACTATCAAATTATTTTTTGAATTGATCTTGTAATTCTCTTTTTCTAGGGTCATATTTGGGTATATTGTTAGCCAGTAGTTAAGTGCTTGGTTTGTAAGTTTAATCGTACTGCTGTGTTGTATTCAGGTATTTTTGGTTCATGATTTTGGTTAAATATTCTAGATCTTGTTTATATACTTTTACAATATTGTTGATATATTCTTCAGGTTCTTCTTTTCTTATACAGTTGATAATATATGTTACGGATGATGCTAAATTCGGATGATGGCCATAATCATATCTGATAGTTTCTGAAAATCGATCATGTAACATGATCATTAACAAAAAAAAACAATTGGCCAGTCTCCTCAAGAAAAGCAACACCCACCCACCCTTCCAAGAAAAATCCTATACCCACCCAAGAAAAGAAGATCTTGGAAATCAAGAGAAGAATACAAGAAATGAAAAGAATCAAGGAAGAGAAAAGACTCATCCAAACCTTTTAAACCTAAAGAAGAAAGATTCAAGAAATCATCATTTCGCCCAAAAGACTCATCAGGACAATACGAAAAGAAATATAAACTATACGACAAAGAAAAATACAAGAATAAGAAAATGTGGTATGACTATTGTAAAACAGACACACACTTCACCAATAACTATTACAAATATTGAAAAGACGTAGAAGAAATAGAAGACCCAGTGGTTTTTAACCTTGAAAAATCAAGAGAGAAAGAAGATTTTGATGAATACATACGATTCACAAAATACAGGGAACAATACCATCTTAAAAATGAATATTTATCAAGTGAAGAATTACAATCCTATCAAGAACCTGAACAGTACGAATTATCAAGTGAATCAAGTAAATCTGATGAAGAATATGAAAGCTATAACCTTGAAAAGAAACAAAATTCAGAAAGCATAATTGAAAATGATTATTATTTCTAAACGGGAGCATGCCCAATACTCATGAACAACTCTCCAAATTAAATAAAGGCTGTATTGAAGAGTATAATAACAAACATTATAATATATATAATTATCCAAAATATACCCAGATACCAAAAAACTAGAACTATTTACTATTAATAAAGAAAAATATTTTTACGAACCAAAATACTCTGCCTATCATAATTATAGAAAATTATTCTTTCCTGAACAAACAAAAATCAATGAACTGAAACAAAAAGGAGCAAAAGGATTCTACTTTCTAGCACTCATAAATGGAATAATAATAGAATTCAAACTAGATGAAGGATCAACTAATACATCAATGGGAATAAACCATGCAAAAAG